TATTTATTTTTTAGTTCTCGGCAGACACAACATCTCTGTTGGTATGTGGTGCTGAGGATCGAACCCGGGCCGCACGCATGCCAGGCGAGCGCGCTACCGCCTGAGCCACATCCCCAGCCCCCCTTTGTTTAATTTCTCTGATTACTTTTATCTCCATTCCTGCTCCCATTTTCCTCCTCTCCCAGAGACAATAATTTTAAACACATTTGTCCTAATGTGTTTAATATGTGTCTTTTTAGAAATGGGTTCTTGTAAAAATAGGTGTTGTTGCTTGTGTGTATATATTTTGAATATTCACAAACATTTGGTAGATCCTTCCTTTCTGGGGGATTAACAACAGCCAGTGTCTCTTGAAGGGGTTCTTCTTTCTTCCCAGGGGAATCCAAGCTACCCTAAAACTTACAATCTCAGATAACTAATAAGTAACAAAACACAGATACTCAGAAATATATTTACATAACACGAAGCCCCTGATAGATCTAGTGCACCTGGGTTCTGGAACTAGACAAAGGGAAAAATGGCTCTGGTGGTTTATTTAAGGGTTTACACCAAAGGCAGGGATAAGATTTCACCGGTGGAGTCTCGATTTTTGATGTCTTGCAATCAGCAGGTTGATTGACATCTTGGCAGGTCACACCCATCTCAAGTGCTGCATAGGCCAAGGCAGAGTGGAAAAGAGATTCACGTTGTCCCTGGGCAATTGACCAGAGGAAATGTCCACTGGCCATTTCCAGGCACAAGATGTCTCTGTCGACAAGGCTTCCATGTGGGGTGACTCACATGCAAACCACGGATGGCTTGTGACACCCTCCTGAGGATCATTTCTTTAGTTCATTCTCAGGAGCAGGACTGCAGTGTCAGGAGGTGTATACATCTTATTTGACTAATTTTCTCTCCAGGTTGTTGCCTCGTTGCCACTCCCTCTATCACTCAATTCCTAAGGCTTTGTAACTCCTCAACAGGTGCCCCCATCCAGCTTTCAAATTATGCTAATCTCCAATGGATGTCAAGTGGCATCTCATTTTTTCTTTTCATTCTTCTGATTCCAAGGAGTCTGAGCAGTTTTTTAAAATATTTTTTTGGTTAGCAATGGACTTTTATTTTACTTATTTAAATATGCCATGCTGAGAATCACACCCAATGCCTCGCATATAGTAGGCAAGCACTATACCACTGAGCTACAAGCCCAACCCTGAACATTTCTTCATATGCTTCCAAGCCTTTTGAGTTTCCTACTTTGAGAATTGCCAATTTACATCTTCCTTCAGTTTATCTATTGGGGTTCATGTTTTTTTCTTGTTGATTTGCAAGAATTCTTTGTATATTCTAGATATCAATCCCATCTTGGTTTTAAGTATTGTAAGCACCTTATCCCAAATGGAAATGTTTTTGTCACTTTATTCAAGAATAGGTATCTTTATTTTTGATGCACATTCATGCATGTGTGTTGTTATTGAAATTTCATGGTTTTATTCAGGAAAATAAGTAAAATATTTGTATACATTTGATGCAAATTCATAAATGTATGTTGTTATTGAATGATTTGAACTTTCATGGCTTTATTTAGGAAATCCTACTTACCTTCTCTTAACTTTTTGTTTTGTTTTTGTGATACTGGAGTTTGAATCCAGGGATGATCTGCCACTGAGATATTCCAAGTCCTTTTTTTTAATATTTATTTTTTAATTGTAATTGGACACAATACCTTTATTTTATTTATTTATTTTTATGTGGTGCTGAGCATTCTACCCTGGAGCCACAACCCCAGCCCCTCCCAGCCTTTTTATTTTATATTTTGAAACAGAGTCTTACTAAATTGCCCATGTTGGCCTCAAACTTGCAATTGTGTCAACCTTCCGAGTAGCTGGGATTATAGCTGTGTGCCACTACATCTGGCCTTGACTTTATATTACTCCTCTAACATTTAGGCCTTTCATGCATTTTGAGTCTGTTTTTTGTAAGTGCAGTTTGTTAGACATGCACCCCTTGGGAGTTTTCTCTATATGGTGAGCCAGTTTTCCCTACACAATCTACTAAATAATTCTGTTACTAGAGTCCTAGACCACAGGGGACCTCACCCTGGAAATCAAATGGAAAGAGTAATGGTGAAAAGCAGGAAAGGATTGATCAGTAGCACTACATTGGGAAGACAAGGCAGATCAAGTGTTGCAGCCCTGTCTTTGGAGGGTATTGACATGAGCTCCAAGATTACGTAGAGAAGGGGACAAGAAGTATACAGAGCCAAGAAGACTTGGTCAGACGGGTCTGTTTGATCATTATCTCAGTTCTGATGGCACCGAGTCTCATCAGTATTAAGAAAATTACTGCTGCGGAGGGGGCAGTGATGGGAGTCTGCTTTGGATAACTAGGAAATCGCCTGGTTGCTGCTCAGGAGCAATCTCATTTTTCTTCACGTGATGTGTTTCTGTCAGATCTGTGATCCTGGAAAGGGTGGCAGTTTGTTTCCCATGAGATGATTGCTCCTATTTAAGGGGCAGTCATATCGTGGGGTGATCTGCTTGCAAGGCTTCACTGTTTCTGGAAATAAATTTAGGGCAATGACTGAAGACTTCTAGGCGCCACTCCAGGGGTCTGGGACAGGATGTCGTAAAGCTGGCAGTTGATAATCTGTTGAAAATAACTTATAGTTACTCTTATCTTGACATCTTCATTCTTGAAAAGAGAGGATTACCAGCTTTCGGTGAATGCTCCTTAAATGATTAACATGCTTAAGTTCAGGAATCTGACCCAGAGTTCAAGGCAAAGGAGACAGAAACAAAGCGAAGGCAGAGATGCAAGTTTTTGTCCTACTTTAGGTTACTCATCAGGCATCTGCAGGCCCAAGTGAAGAGTCAGTGCTTTTTGCAAAAACAGCCTCCAAGTCCCTACTATAATTCTTCCTTTCCCTGCAGTTGATGGAGATATGTATATGAAGTTCCCATGTGTAGATAGGTCTTCCTCAAATTCTATTCTGATTCCTCAGTCTAGTGTCTGGTCTTGTGTCAAAACCACAATTTTTATTATTGTGTCTCCATATTTGGTGGGGCTAATCTCTCCTCTTCATCCCCACCCACAAGATTGACTTAGTTACTTGTAGATATTTATTTTTCTATGTAACTATTAGATCAAATTACTCAAGGTCCTCAAAAATCCATTTTGATTGGAATTGCAGTGAATTTGATTGACACAAGGATAATGACATTTTTGTTATTTATTTAGATCATCTTTTTCTTGTTCTAAAGTTAAGATTTTCATCATACAGGTATTTTATATTTTTGGCTAGGTTAACCTAGAAGCTATTGCAAATGATATCTTGTTTTTATCTAATTCCCAACCCACTAATAATCTGAGCAGTGCTACTGATATAGTAACCCTAATGAATGCTTTTACTCATTCTAATTGTTTTTCCAGGTAAATGATTTGTATATGCAAATTACAAGTTTGTCTCTTTTCCTATCTATTTTGCACTTCTTTTTCTTTTCTCTATTAGAGTATTTACCAAGATCCCAAGGTCTAGATTAAACCAATGGTCAAGTGCAGTCAGTAAACTGTTGCCTTAAAGCAAATATATTTAAAGTTTCCCCACTTAATGTTTTATATATATATATATATATAAATAATTATATTATATATAATATATATAATATTATATATATTTATTTATTTATATATATATATATATATATATAGTATCAGGGATTGAACTCAGGGACACTCAACCACTGAGCCACATCCCCAACCCTATTTTGTACTTTCATTTAGAGACAGGGTCTTACTGAGTTGCTTAGTGCCTCACTTTTGCTAAGGCTGGCTTTGAACTTGCAACCCTCCTGCCTCAGCCTCCTGAGCTGCTGGGATTACAGGTGTGTGCCACCACACCCGGTTTAGAATTTTTTTTTTCACATAACAAATTTTTTGATCTTAAACATCTTTTGGTGTATGGCTCTGTACTACGAGCATTGACACTGTTGAATAACCATCACTACCAGCCATCCTAGAACTCTTTTTATCTTATAAAACTAAAACTATGTCTATTAAATAAGAACTCCTGATGTAGGAATTTTAAATATTGAACCCAGGGTCTTGTACATGCCCAGGCTCTACCACTGAGCTACATGCCCAGCCCCTTAGCAGATTTTATTAGACGTGTTAATCACATTTTTTCTCATTTAGCCTATTAATATGGTGAATTTCATTGATACACTTTAATGTCAAATTGTTTTTCCATTCCTGGCATTAAATTTATTTGATAATGATTTCTTAATACATGAGTGTCGTCCAGCTCGTTGGCAAGTAGCTGGTAATCCCTGAGGAGGAAAGGTAAATCTGGGCTATTGTGGGGGTCCTGCAAGGTTGGGAGCTGTGGGGCGATTGTCCTCTGGAGGGCGTGCAACCAACCAATCCGCAGGCAGGTGGTGGATGTGAGGCAGGTGATCAGAGGAGTGGACTGTGACAGGAACGGTTGGGCTCAGAATTTGGGAAGAGGGTTCAGCCTTGAGTGACGGGGATCCCGGTCCTGGTTTCGGCACCAATGTAGGAACGGCGGAAAAGCTCCGTAAACTCAACAAACCGAAACAACCATTTACCTGTCCCAGATTTTATTAGGGGGACCATAGCAGCCAATTGCAGAAGAGAAGGGGGTAGAGAGAGGGGGGGAGAGAGGGAGAGAGAGAGCCCAAACACAGTTTCTAAAAGTATTAATAAGACTTGGGTGTAGTGGTGCATGCCTGTAATCCCAGAGACTTGGAAGGCTGAGGCCAGAGGATGCAAGTTTGAGACCAGCCTCAGCAATTTAGCAAGGCCCCTCCCCCCCTGCTCTCCCCCCCCCTCTTCCCCCTCTCTCTCTCTTTCCTCTCTTTCCCCTCTCTCTCCATTCCCTTCCCTTCTGCAACTGGCCGCTATGGTCCTGCTAATAAAATCTTGGACAGGTGAAAAAGTAAAAAATTAAAAAATAAAAACTGTATTTGGAATTAGGAACAGCAACACATGCCTGTAATCTTAACAATTTAGGAGGCTGAGTAGGAGGATCTCCAAATTTGAGGTCAGACTGGGCAACTTAGTGAGAACCTGTCTCAAAATAAAAATTCTATGAAAGGGCTAGAGATATATTACAGTGGTGGAGTGTCCCTGGGTTCAATCCCCAGTATCACATATAAACAAAAACAAACTGGCTTTTGGTTTTGTTCATCTCTACTTTCCTAATTTCTGCATCTGCCCTTTTAGTTCCTCTTCTGTTCTTCAGAGCGGAACACCTAAACACCATTAACCAAAGGTGGAGCCAGTGGGGGAGCTAGCTCTCTGCCCAAGGCCTACCTATCACATCCTGTGGCTTTTATGCCAGAGGCATAAAACCAGCTGTCAAGCCTTGGCCCCAGGCTGAGGCACAGACCTGAGCTGTCTGGTACAAGAGCTGCCAGCCACAGGTGGCCATTGAGCACTTGAAATGTGGCTAGTGGGAATTGAAATATGCAGTATATGTAAGATTTACACTGAATATCAAAGACTTGGTACTGAAAAAATATAAAATATCTCAAAAATTTTTATATTGATCACATGTTGAAATATTTTGGAAATATTGGTTTCAACCAAATATATTGTCAAAATGAATTTTACTATTTCTTTATGGATATTAGAAATTTTTAATTAAGTAGTAATAGTAAGGTAACACATAAATATGTCAAAATTTGTGACTGCTTTGAGATTGTTTGAGGTTTGGTCAACATACATAGCTTAACCTGCTTTATTTTTCAGGGACGGATATAAACTCAAATTAAGGAAGGGATTTATCCAGGGAACATAGGCTCCAGTTCTTGGGAAGAATGGAAGGCAAAAAGGAGAGAGGGAGAGAGGGAGAGAAAAAGAAAGGAGGGGGAGAGAGAGAAAGGACAGGGTGTAGGCGAAACTCTGTGGAGTGCACCTATAATCCCAGCAACTCAGGAGGCTGAGGCAGGAGAATCTTGAGTTCAAGGTCAGCCTCAACAACTTAGCTAGACTCTGTCTCAAAGTAAGAAATAAAAATAACTGGAATATAACTCAGTGTTACAGCACTCTTAGATTCAATCCCCAATACCAAAGAAAAAGGACTCAGTGAGACTCTGTCTCTAAATAAAATACAAAATATGGCTGGGGATGTGGGTCAGTGGTCGAGTGCCCCTGAGTTCAATTCCCAGTACCAAAAAAAAAAAAAAAAAAGGAAGGAAGGAAGGTAAGGAAGAAAAGAAAAATTTCTCAGGGTGTTGCCAAACTGCAGGCAGCACTCACTAGTCGCGCCTGGGGTAAGGTAGTGGCTTTTCTCTGGCTCTTCTTTTCCCAGCTCTTGGTCTCAGGTGAGCCAAGCCTCAGCTTTAACACAGGAGACAAAGGCCTGTGATTGGCTACCATGGGAGATGAAGTGCGTTGGGTGGGTCAGTTTGCTGAGGAGGGCCATGGGTGTAGAGGTGGGTGGGGATGCTGGGCAGGCTAGAGAGGCAGGGATTCCATACAACCTCTGCCAGGGTTCCATGGCTTGTCACTGGGCCAGTCCTCTTCCCTCCTAGACTGGTGCTGCTCTTCTCCCATGGGATGAGTTTTAATAAAGAATCGAGTCATTCCTGCTTCTATGGTCCCAGGTCCCACCTGCTCCTGGACTGAGTCTGTTTTGGTCCTAAAACCCTGGGCCAGAGAAAACCTGCATTTTTGCCTAGAAGGGAAGTAAAGCTGCGCTGGGATATCCAGTCATGCTCTCTGCTTTGTTTCCAGGGGCTTCAGGGCTTCTCTGCTCAGGGACCAGAACCCAAGAGAGGCCAGGAGAGCAGCTGTGGCCAAGGGGCCTAAGGATTTCAGTGCCAGAAACATACCCTAACGAGGACAAGGAACATGGACCAGAGCAAAGAGGTTATCGGAGTCCCAGTTGGCACTGTGGTGCCTCAGGAGCTGCTGGAAGAAATGGTTTGGGTTTTTCGTGTAGAAGATGGTAAGTGGTGAGGGACTGGCTGGTGGGTGGGCAGTGGCACTCCCCAACTCACAGAGCAGGGTTTGGCCAAAGCCCCCTCCCATACATCAGTCAGCACATTCCCTCCAGGACAGGGACTGAGACCAGATGTCTGGCTACCCAGGGGGTTTGGCTGAATCTCACCCTCTTTTTTTCAGGGTGTGGTCATTTACTCAGCCACCCAGTCATCACAGCTATATTTATTAAGCTCCTACTGTGTGCTCTTCTCAGCACTAGGATTACAGTAGTGAGTAAAACAGAAAAATCTCGGCCCTTGTGAAGCATACATTCTAGTGGACAGAAAATAAACAAGGTAAATGACTAACATGCACAGCGTATTGATGATGTGTAATAAGATGAAAAATTAAGCAGAGAAAGAGGAAGGAATTGGCCATGCAGATTATATGGGGGAAGAACATTCCTGTCAGAGGAGCAGCACATGTAAACGTCCTGAGGCCGGACCCCACCTCATTTTGATATTGTGGACAATTTTTTTTGAGTAATATTCTTCTAAAAAATTTAAAATTTTTTTAGTTGTAAATGGACATAATACCTTTATTTTATTTATTTATTTTTATGTGGTGCCAAGGATAGAATCCAGTGCCTCACAAGTGCCAGGCAAGAGCTCCACCACTGAGCCACAATCCCAGCCCACTGTGGACAAATCTTGAGTAGCCAAATTCAGATTAGCCAGTTTATGTACCATCTCTAGGCAGCTTGACCATCACTCCTTCCTCTCCTGGCCTTCCCTCCCTTCCTTCCTTCTTTCTTTCCTTGAAGTACACAGGAGGCAAAATGGAAGACTGGGAAGTTTGTCTTGGCTCACCTCTTTTCCCCCTGACTCTCTTTCCCCCACTATTCTCCAACTGCACGGCTGCCTCCCCCTTTAGACCAGGGCTTCTCTAGGGTAGGCATGGTGTCATCCCCCTGCCCACTGGCAGTTGCCCTGGTGCAGAGGGCTCTCATCCTTGACAAGGATCTCCACAGCAGGGCACAATCGATGCTGTGAGCTGGTCTGAGCCCAAGCCCCAACTGTTAGAGGGCCTGAGGGGCACCTGGCCTCTCCTCAAGGCTCTGTCCTGTGTGCCCCTCCTCAGGGTCTCCTTGGAATTATTCCATCCTTGCCCTGTCGGCTGTGGTGATGGTCATAAGCCTTGCCCTCCTGGGAAGGAGCATCCAAGCAAACAGGTGAGGAGCTGCTCTGGGGTGGTCCTGGAGGTAGGGGCCCTGCCTTCCCAGAGGAAATCTAGGAAGGGGTCATTTAGAGCCCATGGCTGTCTGCCTTTTTGGACAAAATGCTGCCTCAGGGTCCTTTGAGAACACAAAGCTGTTAAGAAACCAGCAATTGGGCTGTGGTTGTGGTTGGGAAGAGTGGCCATGGTTTGACATCCCTTCATAAACAGCTTATACTTGCATGTGCCTCACTTCATCAAATCCTTTACTGCCACCTGTGAGCCCAGCATTATTACTATCCCCCCTTACAGATGAGGAAATGTGGCTTAAAGAGGTCAAAGAAGGCCAGGTGTGGTGGTGCAACCCTGTAATCCCAGTAGCTCAGGAGGCTGAGGCAGGAGGATCACGATCGCAAGTGGTAGAGCACTTGCCTAGCATGTGTGAGGCACTAGGTTCAATCCACAGCACCACATTTAAAAAACATAAAATAAAAGAATGTGTCCCTCTACAATAGAAAGAGAGAGAGAGAGAGAGACAGAGAGAGAGAGAGAGAGAAAAGAAAAACAAAACCCAGCAATTGTTCTTGACTACCACCCCCTGGAGCTGACCAGCAAGGTTCATGATCCAGGGGAGGGTAGCCATTAAGAAGGTGGCCTTGCCCCTCTTCCCCTGTCAGAGAACATCCCCTCAGAAGTCAAATGAATCAATGTGGCCATCCATGGGAGCAACAGAAAGTGACCTGTACCCTCTTGTGGCTCAAGGAATTCTCTGGATACTCAGCTCTTAGCAGAGCTAGACTCCTCCATTCTAGGGGTATCTTAAGTAAAACCAACTTGGAGAGAGGACAGATTTGTGGGAGGAATATCAGGTTGCGGAAGTGGGTGGTGGAAGCCAATGAGGGTGTTGGGCCAGGAAGTGAGGTGTGTGGGCCTGGGCTGTACACACAGGACTGGTGATGTGGATAGGCTGGTTTGGAGAAGGAAACACAAAGACACAGGTTAGAAATTTCCTGCAGCATCTTAGGGGATAGGATGTGGAAGGACAAGGACCTGTACTAAGTAAGATGATAGTCCTGGGGAGTACAGTGTGGTTTGGTGAGAAACAGGACTCAGAGTGGGGAGACTGAAGCAGACAACTCAGGTATGAGCTTCTTGGGCTTTTTTTTTTTTTTTTTTGTAAAGAGGATTGAACCCAGGGGTGCTTAACCACTGAGCCATATCTCTAGCCCTTTTTAATATATTTTTGAAATTCTGAGGCAGGATCTTGAGTTGCTTAGGGTCTCGCTAAGTTGCTGAGGCTGGCTTTGAACTCACAATCCTCCTGTCTCAGCCTTCTGACCTGCTGGGATTACAGGTTTGCACCACCACACCTGGCCTTCTTTGACCTCTTTAAGCCACATTTCCTCATCTGTAAGTGGGGATAGTAATAATGCTGGGCTCACAAGTGGCAGTAAAGGATTTGATGAAGTGAGGCACACGCAAGTATAAGCTGTTTATTGAAGGGACGTCAAACCATGGCCACTTTTCTCAAATGGCTCCCAGACTGTACCCTGGATTTCCTCCTCAAACTCTCTAACCCACTCGGGAGAGCCAGGCCTGCTCCACTCCCTCAGCATCCCTGATCAATACTCTTTCCTCTCCTCTCAGAAATCGAAAGATGCAGCCACAAGAAAAGGTAACACCAGAAGCCCTGCATTTGGAAGAGTCCAAAACCAAAGAAAACAACAGCCTAAATAAACTAACAGAGATGCTGCTCTCAGGAAATCCAAACTTGGGACCTGAGTTAAAAGAGAAAGATGTCTCAACGGTCCTCCTTCCAGATCCATCAGAAACTGAGATCCAGTGAGTGCTCAGAGCATGTGTCATCCCCCTCCCAGGCTTGGGATCCCAACTTGAGCTCACCTCATGGCCTGGAACGTCTCTGGTTTCAGTCCCCCCCACCCCTGCAGCCTAATGTTTTATTAGCAGATTCAATGAGTGAGCTTCAATCAAATTAAAATTTGTTATTTAAACAATCTTTTATTAAAAGGCTTCTGGGAGTGGGCAGATGGAATTGCATAGTATGTTCAAACAATGGTGGTCCACAAACACACAGTGGCTTGGAGTAAAGTGTACAATCCCAGCCAGGCTGTGGGTCAGAAACCTCGGCCAGGACCCTCAGTATGCAGTCTTGAATAGTTTGTGGGCTCCCCCTAACCTCAGCTTCTCCGTTTTTGGAGTGGGGCTGAAAACTATGTTAGAGATGTTTCCAATCCAAGCTCCTGGGACTGCTGGTTGAGAGGGGAAGGAGCAGGATTTCAGGGTCAGAATTCCCTTGTTGGCCCTTCCACCCACCAGAGCCCTCTCCTGTACCTGCTTATCTGCTGAGGATTCATGGTAAACAGTTAGGAAACATTTGCACTCCCTGCCTCTGAGAGCCTTTTCTTGCTAACAGTGGGATCCCAGGGAGTATCCTGATTCCAGATCTGAGCCATAAGGTATTTGTTTGTTGGTGTTTGGCAACACCAAATAATTTATGCAAAAGTCTGCTTTATTAACCCAAAATGATCTAGGTTTTGTCTCTGACCCACTGCTAGGAATCCTGGGTCCTGCCAAGCCAGGCTACAGACATGTATACTGTTTCTACCCATGAGTATCCGCCAGATGGCATCTGATCCCACCAACTGTGGGCTCCCTGGGGCCCTAGGGAACTGTCACTAGAGAGAACAAATCTATCCTGCAGCCTTGGTCATTCAACTTGAGGAGGTTGGTCATGAGGAGGTTGGTCATGTCCTTAACAAAGGAGGTACAAGAAGACCCTGATGTTGGTAAAAAAAAAAAAAAAAGAGAGAGCTAGAGTCTTCCTACCCAAGGCAACCCACAGCCCTCTCCCTTTTACCTGCATGGAGAGGCAAAGTGCTGGAAATACCTTTGCCTGGGACTTTTCCCTGTCCAAGCTGAGAGCCTTTTCTTGCTAACAGTGGGATCCCAGGGAGTATCCTGATTCCAGATAATATAATAGATAAAATAATAGAATTATTTTAACTAAATTTTCTTCAGGAAAAAAACTGTAGAATTTGCTGCTTGGGGCTTCTATGAGGTCAGAAGATGACAGTGGGAGGACCAGGTTCTGGCCTCTGAGCAGGCGCTCTTCCATTCCCCTCCTCTAGGTGGTGCTAGGCCTTCAGGGCCATCTCTACTGCCTTGACGTGGACCGGGCCTCTCAGAGCTGTCCATCCACTAGGGTCCACAGTTGGCAGGCAGGGATCCTGGCAGCAGGATGGACACTTCAGTTTCTTCCTGCTTAAGGCTGACCCCAGGTTTCTGAGCTGTAGCAGTAGCTCTTTCCCTCCAGGGTCACAGGTGTAGTGGTTACCGCGAGAACCGAGGTCTGACAGGAACAGGAACAGCATCCCTGCCTGTCCCTCTGGCTCACACAATGAACTGGATGTAGGGTCACTGCTTGGTGCTGGAGGTGGGGCCAGCTTTCCACCAGAGGATGAGGTCCATCAGAGGAAAAACTGTGGTGACAAACCAGCCCCTGTTCTGCAGCTCTGCCCAGCAGTCAAGCCAGGGCTCCTGGGGAGGGGCTCTCAAAAGATCTTGAAGCCCTTCAGCAGGGTCAGAGTTGGAGCTTTGCGCTTGCTCTGGGCACGGGATGACTTCACAGTGACCAGCTTGGCCTGGGCCACCGTGGGCATCTCCTTCAAGCTGACAGTGGAGAGAGTGTTGAAGGTGCAGCTGGCCAGCCCGTGCCGGGTGGCGAGTGAGGCCTGGTGGGGAGGGGCCCTCTCCTCAGAGATGAAGAGGGGCCGGGCCAGGGGGCTCTTCTCCAACTCCCGCCGCACCTCTCGAACTGCCTCATGGAAGACGTGCTGCACGTGCTCAAAGTCCAGGCAAGCAGACACCTCGAAAAACAGGCACCCGAACCTGCTAGCCAAGGCCGCACCCTCGGCCTTGGTGACCTGCCTGGTGAGAAAGCAGGGCGAGGCAGGGAGTCAGGAACGTGCTGCTCCGAGTCAGGCAGAGTGGGGCCTGTGCCCAGCTTCCCACCCACTGGCTGGGCGCCTCGGCCCATCTTCATCATTCTGTTTGCTCATCGGTACAATGGGATGACATCATGTGCCTCTCGGGTGTTAGAATTAAGAAATATAATTAGTGTCAAATGCATAACAAACCTGGCACAGAGACAGTGCTCCATAAATGCTAGCTAATGTTGCCAAAGCCAGAATTCAGGAAGGAGCAGGAGTGTAAGAGGCTGCTAGACCTGTCAATGGCCAGAATAAGAAGACCATTCTCAGTCCCATCTCTCCTCTACCCCAACCTGGGGCCCTTGGTCAGGAAATGGGCCATAGAAGTGACCCAGGGCATAGCTCTCAGGGTTCATGAGGAGTTTTGTCTGCCTGCCTGGGTAGAGAGTCGGAGAGAGCAGGGGTGATGACATTTTGTGGTTAGCAGAGGGAAACAGGAAGGAGGAACAACCCCTACTCCAGCTGGGTCCACCTCCTGAGGTGACAGGATAGATATCTGAAACTGGGAAGGTCCTGGAAGCTTCTGACCTAAAAACTGTGGGGAACTGAGGTGAGAAAAAAAAAAAAAAGATGGGCTTTTGGGTAGGTGAGGTGGAGAGAGAGAAGTGGTGGAGGTCCCTGAAGGCTGAGGCCAAGGTTCCCCTGGCTGGATCCTTCTGACCACCACCTGATTGCTGGGCACTGCTGAAGGTCCCACCCATCACTCCTGAGGACAATGGCAAGCCCGTGACATGAGAGGAAACACAAGGGTGCATAGTGGTGGGACAAGACTAGTTTGGCAGGAGTTAGGCTAGTTGCCCAGCATACTGTTTTATAGTGGGTGGGAGCATTAGAGAGAGAGTGAGTGAGTGACTGGGACCAAAAGGGTCAGGGGCAGAATATCTAATCACTTCCCACCTGGGGCTGGTGTCCTGTGTGCTCACTGCTTCCTGAGGATCCCCTTTAGAAAGAGAACTGGGTATATTTGCTTTTATGATGAGCTTGTGTCTATAACTCTGCCATTGTGGGGGCTTCAATAATGAATTTTCAAAAACATATACACATGGGGGTGACACAGGCACATGACATTACTCTTTTCTTAATTGTTGTTTGCAACCTGTGAACATTTTGTCAGTGGTTTGGAAACTACTGCCCTAAACCCCATTCTCTCTCTCAGCTGCAAGACAATCATGGAGACACTGACAAATGCTCAGTTGAAAGAGTCAATGTGCCAGGGAGCCCTGATCTACCAATGCTGGGCCTTGACCAAAGAAGGAAGTGGAGGTGAATTGTCACAGCATGTTCCTAGGGAACGGATGTTGTTTCACTCAAGCCCCATATTAGCTAAATCCCACACCATTTTTAGACAATCCCCTTTGGCAAAGACTGGGGTCAAAACAGTGGTCTGTAATTTTCTCCCCCATATTGAAATCTGGCCTATTCACAATCCAGTCTTCTGACCCCCTCCTTACAGGTTCTGCAATTCCTCAAAGACAGCCTTGGTGTTTTTAATATCACATGACTTTCCGCATTCCCTGAGACAAGAATTTGTCTGGGTCTGAGGACTGGGTGGCCTGTGAAGAGGCCTTACTGTGACCCCATTCATGAAAAAACAACTCCCTCCTGCCAATGCCTATCTGACCCATTTTGAACAAAAGGTCTCTTCCCTGCTAACACCAGTCACAGGCCTTTGGGGCCTGGGAAATCAGGAGAGAGCAGCCACAAGCAGGGCAGGTGATGGGAAGGCTGGAGGAAGGTGCCATACCTGGCAGGTGGAGGATCCAGTGGGATTGCTCATCGAGTATAGGCACCACTGTCTCCAATGCCTCAGAGCCAGGCAGGTGACTTGAATGTGTGAAGAGGGTGAGATAAAGGATGGGGAGTGGGGCAAGGCCTCTGGTGAGCTGGAGAGAGCAGGCCCCACCTCAAAGCATTCCAGTTCCAGAACTTTTAAAACACTGTGCCAGCCAAGCAAAATATGGCTGCAGTGTTCTGTGGTCATCTGCCCTTTGGCCCAGTCTGTGACCTCTGATTCAAGTCCAAGCCTCTCTGAGAGAACCTGCCCTCAGCATAGCCAACTGGGGGAGTGAGCCCAGGGCTTGTGCTTGGGTGAGGCAGAAGCTGCTTGGTCCAGAGCAGACACTTGACCCAAGGAGCCAATCAGAGCTCCTCTCTGGAATTGGGCAATGAATGACCAGTCAGCTGCTAGGAGTGGGACCAGAGGTCACATCGACTCAAGCAAGAAAGGGTGGGGCTGAGACAGACCACAGAGACACAGGAGGATAGGAGTGGCTTCTTTCCTGACTTCTGGGAAACTCAGCTTCTGTGTGGCCCAGATACACTTCCCTGTCTCTCCTTGTCTGCTGGGAGACCAATGCCCAGCGTCCCTTTTTCCTAATTTCTAGGGGATTGCTAACCAATGCCTGCAGATGCCACTCTGCCTTTACAAATATAGAGTGTGGGCTCTGGAGAGAGGGCCATGCTGCCCGTTCTCACCTGTACTGGGCCATGTCCAGCTTGTTACCCAGCAGCAGAGTGGGGTAGCTGCGCTGTATCTCCTTGGTGTGCAGGGCCAGCAGCTCCAGGTAGCTGCTGCTGCCCTCAAAGCTCTGGCGGCTGTCGAGGCTGTAAACTACCAGGAAAGCGTGGGCCCAGTTCAGGTAGCGCTCGCAGTTCCTGGGGGTATCCTGAGGTGAAGAAAAGGAGTCCCCCCCTCAGGGGCAAGAAGGTGGGGGTAAAGGCCTTCACCTGAGCTGTCCCACACCCCCTACTCCCAGGTCTTTGTATATTGTTCCCCAGCAGAGCCTTTTTCAAAGGAGCACTTGAATGTGGATTTGGCTTGGCATGAAAGGAGACATTGTCTCACGAAGCTCCCTCCCACCACACAGCCAGAGAGCAGGAGACCTTGGCCCCTTGGGCCCAAAGCCAAAGACTCTGGCATGGCCCCTACAGGGACCTGCTATCCCTGGGCACCTCTGGTTTGGGTTAGGTTCATGCTTCCCTTTGACTTCTGATCTTAATAGGGGCTGGTGAGTTGGGGGTGAAACTGGGAGGGGGATATGTC